TTCATAAAAGCATGGCAGAAAGCTGAGATTTTCCCCTCCAACTCTCCCTTCCCCTACCTGAGTCAGTGAGACGGTATCCTTAGATACGGAGCTCTCCAGGCATTTGGTGACAGATTTGAAACAGTGAAGTTGGGTTTGTGAGGAGGAGGTAGGATTTAGGGACAGAAGACAGAAACTCTTTGCATGGAAGACCACAGTGTGACTACTGTCTTTGGCACTTTGTCCTTTGTCCCCCGCAGAGCTGATGGAGAGTCTGCGCCAGGCTGAGCGGAAGAACTGGACGCTGGATCAACATCATATTGCCAACCTCTGTGACTCCCTTAATCACTTCCTTACCCAGACTGGTCAACTCCCTCATCTGGTTGGCCCACAGCAGCCCCCTCGAATCTCTGATTCTTGTGCCCTGAACAGTGGCAAACAGGAGCAATCCATGAACCAAGGTAATTAGGAGGAGACTAAAATTATATGTAAATGAAGGCCCAGTTCTGTGAATGTCCTAAATTACTTACAGCCTTGCCAGGCAATGTAGCACTGAGCAACTCAGAGCTAGGCTGTCAGAGGTGTTCATACCAACTCAGGTTTCTCTGGCTTTAAAGAATGAGGTTGTCCTATGCCTGTGGCATGGACTGACTGCTATTATTTGATGCATACAGTTGACAGGCAACCTATCCAGGAAGAAATATATTTAAAAGGTAAACCCATAAAAGGAGAAGGGGTGTGTTTTTTTGTAAGTGACCAACAGAAAGAAATGGCCAAGTAGAGAGATTGTTATTCCAGATGGCATGAGCTGTAAAGGAGAAAGCACTTGCACCCGAAAGGAGAAATACTGACTGGACAAGGAGTAGGAGGATGCACTCTGAGGAGAGCACAGAGGATATCGTGGTCTTGATAGAACTGTGATGATGTCTGTCATCTAGTACTGAACTAAGTGGATGATATTGAGCCAGCTTGTGGTGTTTCTGGATGAAAATTTTCTTCTTTTACAATAATAGAGAAACTCCTGCTGGTTCCAAGAACAAGATCCCAGATCAAGCTATAGCTTGCAGTTAGGACCCAACAGCTGAACATCTCCTCAGTATCCCGTGGGTCTGAGTGAGTTGCTCTGTGGCTGAGCTGCCACCCCGTCAGTGCCAAGACTGCTGACCAGAACATTAACAATTGTTGGTTTTTTTTTGGTTTTTTTTGTTTTTTTTTTTTTTTACCTCATTTCCTTTCACAGTGAACTCCTATGGTCAGCCCCAGCCTCCCCATCTCTTCTCCGGGCCATCTCCTATGTACCAGATTTCCACCCAGGACTCTCCAGGATATAATCGCCCAGGTAAGGAGTGACATTAAGGTGTATTATACCAATGAACATTAAAGAATTGTTTTCCAACTCCTTTATGTGTTTCTCCCAAAGCACTTAGTAATCAAACGGAGCACTGCAGGTAGAGAGAGAGGCTAGACTGCAAAAACCCCTCCATTTAGGGTTCTGCCATAGCTTTGGGAAGGCTTAGGGTGTCAGTGGCCTGATTTCTTTCACTTCACATAAACAGTCTCCTAGCTCAGCCTCACCCTCAGTTGGTTGCTTAAAGACAACTCTACATGAGAAGCTTCTGTTGATGAAGTCCTCTGTGCTCTATCAGCAGTCAGCAGTGAGGGAAGTAAAGGAGGCTGAAACTTAACTTCTGTAGAAGATGCTGTGGAGAATTTCACAGCAGACCACCTAAAGACATTTGTAGGTGCTGTGTGACAGAGAAATTGATGCCACTAGTGTTCTTGTTTGTTAGACTATTGGAAGGGAGAAGGCCCAAACAACTTTGGGTTTTTTTTGCCCAAGAGCCCCCTGTGAAAGAGCATGTAGTTCTTTATTCTAACTGTTCTCTTTCCTTTTCCTTTTTTCTTGTTTTTGGCTCAGCTCATCATCTGGTCCCCCGGCCTCCAGGACCTCCTCCAGGTGCCAATGAGGAAATCCCCGATGATTTCGACTGGGACTTGATCACCTAGCGAGTTACAGACTTTATAGCCCGTCCTTTGTGAGGGACGTGGGAGGGGGGAGACGTGGGGTCAATGGTGTCAGCACCGCCCTCCCCAGCCTCCCTGCCTTGCCTGTATATAGATATATATTCTCTATCTCCGCCAGAGAAGCCACCGCAAGATGCTGCCGAAGATAATCCTTCCTTGCGTCCTGTTTTATCTTCTTTTCTTCTTTTGTTTATTATTATTATTGTTATTATTATTATTACCAGTAATTGAGCACAGCCCTCCCCCTCCTCTGGTGGCCTCGGACGCATCGGATCAGCTCTTTCATGTTGCGTAGTGCCCTGTGGAGGGCAGAAAGATGGGTCCTTGGTGCCATGAAAAGACCTTGGAAGGCTGAATCCTCGAGTGCATCTTTCTCTGCCTCCGTCATTTTGCGTTTAACAATCCCTCTTTCCCTTCAAGGTGGCCGGTGAATCTGTCGTATTGGCTACTGGAGTGAGAGAGCCTAGTGGACCCTGGGAGCCTGTAGTTATGTTGTTTCGTAAATGTTGTAAAGGTCAGGGGGCTGAAGGGACACTGGAGGAGTGATCTTAGCTCTGTGAACTTTGTCACACCAGCCGGAACAGCAAGAAAAGAAGTGGTGTTCCCAAGTACAAAGAGAAGGTAATCCCTGAGGTAGGGAGAGCTAAGCTGAGCTGGGAGGGCAGACCTGAGTTTGGAGAAAGGAGAACGTGGCAGAGATGGTATTTCAGCAGTGAAGTTGGGTTTCACAATGCAGTGCCATCTGTGAAGACAGAGATTTTGAAGGGAATCCTGACCATTTCCTACACTGCTTTTTGCAGTCTCCAGGTGAAGCTTAAATACCCATCAGGTAAAGGAAGCAGTCAGGGGTCTCACATGTGATTCAGAAAATTCTGTTCCCCGGAGCTTTTAATTTCACCCTCTATCCTTTCAAGCCCTTCTTCTGAATATGTAGTGAGGCTCTTACTTGCATATGCAAATTTGGAAATTTTCTCCCATCGGTATTTGTCCAATTGTTATTTGGCTCTCCACCCCTCAGATTTCTTTGGAGACTGTCCTTGCCTGTGTTTTGAGAGTGCCAGCAGCAGGAGCCTTGTTGTGTAGCTGCATGTCCTGTGTCAGGGGTTCCCACTTGGTGAATGGGCTCGTGGTGGGCAGATGAAGCTGCTGCACAAACTGGGGGGGAACTGAGGGACTGCTGGTCAAGGGCTGGACCCTCTGGTCAGGTACCGGGAGGCCCTCATGAGCAGTTTTTGTAAGAAGGGCATTAGAAAAGAGAGGATGAAGCAGGGCAGGCTTCTAAACCGAACAGCCGAAGAGTGTAGTATAAAAGGGAGGTGGGTGGGTCAGACCCCTTCCAGTTCGTCTGGAGAGATGACAGAATCTGGTGTAAATCCTTAAGGATGAATTTTGTCAGCACTTGCAAATCAGGAAGGTGGAAAAGGTGCAGGAGCAGGAGTGAGTGTTGAGATGCCTCCTCCCCAAAAGCTATGTCCTCTGTTCCCCTTTTTTTCTGATATGGCTCTGTTCTGTCAAACCTCTTGTTTTCTCTTAATATTTTGTAAAGCCTCCCCCCAGCCCTTATTCCCTGTTTACCAGTAAAGGGAACAAACATGGAAATAGACCATCATGGCCACTTGACAGACCTGCGGCAGGGGAGTAAAGTAATAACCTCTGCTCTGACTGCAGGAAGGTGGGGAACTGCCATTGCTTTTTCAATTTGCTATAGGGATAAACAAATTGGAAATTGGATCTTTGTCAGGGAAGTGGACAGAGTCTTGTTGTATTGGGAGGGGAGAACAACACTTTTTCTTTTTTTCTTTTTTTTTCCTTTTTTTTTTTTTTGGTTTCTTTTTTTCGTTTTAAGTGTGTGTTTGGGGGGGAGTTCATCATTGAGTATTTCCAAGAGAATTGAGGAATCCCAGACAGCTTCAACATGGAGTCAGCTGTTATCTCTGCTGATTCAGGATGGGAGTAATACATCTTGGAAGCATGTGTGATAGGTTTCTGTGGGAAGTGGCACCAGAGATAACTCATGGCAGGTGCCAGTTAGTGCTTTGCAAAGGACATTAGTGAGAGCCGGCCCTGTGGAAGTCTGAAAACACCACCGGAAGAAAAACAAACCAAGATGGCTCCTTCTGCGTATCCAAGTGCTCCTCATTTGCATATTTGCCTCATTTGCGTATTAAGTTGTGCCTCATTTGCATATGTAAATACATGCCGGTCAGTGTGCAAATTAGCCTCGTTCCTCTGCCCCTGAAATAAATGTGTGTTGTTAGTGCGTGGGAAGACATCGATGGGGTGGGCAGCACTGGCCTGCAGGGAGGGGAGGGGGGCCAGCCTGGCCTGGAGGAGGGTCCTGCAGGCCCCTCCAGCCCGGTGTGGCCCCCCTCCCGGTGCTTCGTGTCAGTGGTCAGGGAGAGAGGGGCGTGGTTTCACGAGTTTATTTTTGTGCATGCTTTCTTAATAAAAAGAAAAAGTGAATGTTTATGGTTTAACTCTTTTGGTGCCAGTATTGATTTTTTTCCCCAGCGGCGCCCGTCAGGTTGGCTCAGTTCCCACCTACTTACCTTAGAATTTGGGTGTTGATATGGCTAAATGAACTTGTATGTACTTTAGACAGAGATTTTTTTATGATGTTGAGAGAAAGAGTTGAAAGTTCTCCCAGATAGCTCTTCTCAGGGCACTGAGATCTGTCAGTCTTTCAGTTCGTGCTCACCAGAAAGGCAGAGTGAAAACTCTACCAATGTTTGGTGGCTGTTTGTCCGTACCACGTGTTGACCTTTCTCTTTTAAGGAAGGAGTAACGCAAAAAAGCAAATTTTAAATTGCTTCCATAGAGTACCTAAATAAATGTATTGCCACTTTTCAGGAGCAGGGAATGTTGACCTTTGGGAACATTCAGGAATTCACACCCCAAATAGCCTGAGTGGATGAAATTTTTATCTTCCTCTACCAGAAAGACAGGAGAAGCACATCTCTCTTGTAAAGAGAGCCTGATGTGACTGAGCCCCGATGTGCTTGTTCCCCACCTTCTTGAGGTCAGACTGGAGGTTATCACTTCTCAATTCCAGAGTTTTGCCAAATGGCTGATAGGCCAGCAGTCACCTAATCTGGATCATCAATGACTGCAGTTACTCAAATTATGCGCATGTGCCATCTTAAAATGCAGGAGGTACATTTGGGTGATCTCAAACTACTTCCTAAAAGGAATATTTGGGACTCTTGTGGAGAGAGCGCTGGGGAGGCAGTGAGTGTGCTCATGTTAATGAACATAGGTATGGCATGTGCATTGGACGAGTTACAGTGATGTATTTCCCAGTCAGTTCAGTGCAGCTGCCTGGGGCAAGTGCTGCTCATAACGCATGGCTGTAAAGAAATGCAACATTACCCTCTAGTGGAATCTTCAGATACTCCCACACACACCTCAGGCCCCAAGTAGAAACAAAGGAGAGGAAAGATGTGTTGACATTCTAAGGAGAGGCATCAAAGTGAGTTTTATCTGCAGTTTATCAGAGACAGGAGATGTAGAACATAGACGTATGGAAATAACATTCTCATCTCAATTCAGAGGTTCAACTACGTGATCCCACCACATTCTGCAGCCTTGCTTTCTTCTCTAAGAGTTAAAATACTCTACTTCACCAGAGTCTTCCTCGCTCTTGGTACTTCCAACTTCCCATCTCTAGAGTAGGATGTAAAGGGGTTACTTGTCATGATCTGAACCATACAGGGTGTGGAGTTGCAGGCTAATGAAATGTGTTGGAGCAAAACCAGCTGTTAAGCAGTGGCTGATGTGCAGGACTATAGCTTGGTCTTTCTGCAGTGGTGAGAGCATTACACTGTGCTGCTAATGTTCTTCTCTGCTGAAGTCTGGCTTCTGTGAAGTTCTGTGGGTTCATCACTAAAGGCACCTTCCAAGATTCCTTGCACTGATTGACGTACCTTTGCCCTGAAGTCCCGTCCCACAAAAACGTAGAGCAGGGGGTTGATGCAGCTGTTGGCATAGGCAAGTGCTGTAGAGAGGTGATCCCACAGGATCAGTGACTCTGTCAGTCCTGTTCTAAGACTAGGTACAAGGGAGAGAATCCCAACTACGTGGTATGGAGCCCAGCAGGTGAAGAACGCAGCTACCACGAGCACAACTGTTCGCAGCATCCTGTTGCGCGGTTTGCTAAACTGCTTTGCGTGTGTCCTGAAAACGATGAGGACGTAGCAAACTGCCATTATGCCAAAGGGGAGCACAAAGCCAAAGACAGCCCTAGTGATGTTTATTACCACTAAGGCAAGGGGTACAGAATAGTCACCTTCATAGATATTTCCCAACAAGTCGTTACCATTGTAGGCTAAAGGTGAGTATTCTTCCCCTGACTCATTTACAGACTCATTTATATAATCTAGCACCTGATCATCTCCAAAACTGTACCCGCACTCAGTTTTGCCATCATAAATGCTTGTCTCACGGTAGTAGAAGACAGGACAGCAGAAAATGAAGGCCAGGATCCAAATGCCACTGCATATTAGCAATATAAATTTCACTGTTCGATGGTTTTGACACCAGACAGGTTTCATGACAAGGAGGCACCGGTCGATGCTGATGGCCACGAGTAGGAAGACACTAGCAAACATGGTGAAGATTATGACTGATGGAATGACTTTGCAGAGGAACCAACCATATGGCCAGTGTTCATGGAGGGCCAGGTGAACGATGAAAAATGGCAAGGACAAGCAGCACATGATATCAGCCACAGCAAGGTTTAGGAACCACACAGTGTTCACAGACCTTTTCATTTTCAGACCAGCTACCCAGATTACCAATCCATTGCCTGGGATACCTATGATGAAAACGATGATGAAGATAGCAATCGAGACAATTGATACCGATGCATAGTATACAGCAGCCTGTTCCTCTGAACTGCTGTTGCCCAGGAGTTGAGGCATTCTGCAGCTATAAAACAGAAAGCAAATTAGTAGCAAGTCACATTCTCCTCCCTGAATTCTTCTCCTAATCTTTCATGAAGCATCCTGAGTCAGGGGACAGTACAGAGCTGTGAGGGTACAAAGGCATGGGTCTATACCAGTTTGTGCTAAAGGCTTACCAATGTGACCATTGTACACCATCATTCTCATGGTAGCTAAACTACATAAACCCCACTATTCAAACAGCTGTGTGCAGTTACATTCTCCTGTCTCTGCCACCCCCTTTAGTCTCCAAAGTGGAGCTCTCCATTCACATGGCCATGCTGTCCCCAGGTGTTTCCTGATTGCCTTCCTGCTTTTACTACACTTCTCAGAAAGGGAAATCCGTGTTTTTGAGTCCTGTTCCTTTAAAACGAGCGATTTCCTCAGGCATAACCAGTGAAATACATTTAGCCTAAGAAAGCAGTGCTTGTCTTTATGAAATAACCTTGCTCTGCTTTTTGGACATTGTAAATAGAACACATAAGACAGCAACTCTGTTGCTAAGGGGTATTTTAGGGCTAAGGGGTATTTTAGGGAAGTCTCAGTAAGCACTGCTGGTTCTTTGGAAAGCTAGTCTTGATGAGTAGAAAGGCAGGAAATTCATGGTTTAAGGTTCTACAAAGGCAAGAAATGAATCGCTTAAGGAGAACAGACAGAGACTTATTTGTAGAAACAAAAATGAAAATACAGAGTAATAGTAGTAAGGTTCTTGAGCCACTTTAGATATAAGAGATACCTTATTGCAAGACAAGCTGTGCTACCACAGACCTAAGTGACATTTTAAAACTATGAGAGCGGTAGAGGAACAACGTTAATTGCTCAATTATTCTTAGACTTAGTAAATTTAGAAAGGAAAGGTAAACTAGCAAAGCCAAGATAGAACTGAGAAAAAGAGCCCAATCTTCATCCTTTAGATATTAATAGAATTGTCTATAAAATGCCTGTTAACTAAATCCTTGCTGAATCAATGAAAGCAGTTGTGTTGCTGAAACGTCCCTAAAATGTTACTAAAATGCAAGGAAGCTGCATAGTTAAGAGCTGAATGCAGCCTGCAGAAGCAACTGAGAAGACATGAATAACATAACTGACCCTCTTTTAACCTCTATTATTCCAGTACTTAAATGACAGTCAGGGACTGTTTTGTGCAGGACTACATATCAAGATTATTAAAAAAATTTAATTCAAATCATCCACCTCTTTCTTGCATAACATATAGTCTAAATGTGGAGCGATGCATGAGTGTTAGAACTGCTTCACCGGGAAGAAAATTAAATCGTAATTTTCCAGTTTTTGGTAATAACTGCTAAGAAGTTTTAGATGAGGGTGACCTGCAAGAAAAGCCATGAAAGAAGCCTCTGGAAGACTTAACTTAAAGCTGGAGTCTTAACTTAAAATTCTAGCAAGTTTGTTGCATTTCCTGTGGTCTTGCTGATACATGCAGAAGTGACTTTTACTGGGACAACTGGAGAACAGTGCTGCAGGAGCTGAATCTTGCTGCCTTCCCATATAGCTACAGAAAATGGTGTGATGGGATAGGGAACCAAGGAATGCTATAAGGAACAGTAATGCAAGTCCTACTCCAAAGTAAACGCAGAGATGAATCAATACGAAGATACTGCCCACTCTATGTTTTCAAGAGTGCTAAAAGGGCTGGAATGTTGTTGAAAAATGGAAGAGGGAACTGGAAGAGAGAGAGAGGTTTTCAGGAGTGAATAATAATAAATTTCAAGAAGAGGAAAGCAGCTTATGATACCTACCTGAGTGAAGTTATTTCAGTGTGTCAGGGAGCAAGTACTATCAGTCCTGTCTCTGGAGTTACTGAAAAAAGAAACTCACATGACATTTAAGGAACTGCTTGTTGTTTCCTGTATGTGTGTGCCAAGTGTGTTCTTTCACCCTGATGGAAAGGCTTAGAATGACTCATATTTGAAATTTTAGATATCATCTGCTCTTTAAATAAACAGTCAAACCAAAAGAAGTGGTCCTGATACCGTCAAATAAAATAGTGCCCTAAATAAAACATTAATAGAAAGCAAAGGAATAATGTGCACAGACCTATACTTTACTAGAGTTTCCATAAGACAACTGAATGACATCTTGCCTGTTGGCATTTTACTGACATTTGCTCAGTATAATTCACAATTCCAAACTCTGCCATATTACTGCCAAATTTCTGACCTGTTGTCTTGTAGCCACTTCCATGTTTTATCAGATCAGCACATTCACCTAGTTAATACCATTCTTCTTGGATTCTTAACAATCCAGATCAGCTTCTGTCCCAGCTTGAGACAGCTTAGAACATTGTATTCAGCAAATGATGACTGGTCATGTCAAAGGGATTTTATTCTGACTTTTACCTCTCAGGGTATTTAAACTGTATTTTTTAAGAAGGAACTTGACTGACGGAAAGTTAGAAGTGGTTGACTGAAATGCTGATAGCACAAAATGGGGCAAGGCGATAAGAACCAAAGAGCTCTAGGGCAAGGCATTTCAAATGTTTTAGCAAGGGGTTCCCCCTTGCCCCTCAAATTTGGCAAATCGAGACTGCTAGCAGAAATTACAAAGCCAGACATTCAAGAATCAGCCTCAGTATTTTGGTTTTGGTCTGGGAAAGGATCATGACAGAGCAAAGTTCTGCTCCTGAGTGTGTTTCTGTGAAAACCACCAATGCTGCCTCCAATACAAAAACCGTGCAACCAGAAACATGAAGACTAGGGGAGGCTGGGTTATACCCCCAAGGACAGACAGGCAGTCTGCCAGGAAAATTTCTCTATCTGCATCATATTCTCAGCTGCCATTCTTCCTACAGGACCCCTCTGACCCAGACAGGCAGTGCTGATAAGAGGTTACTCTTATGGGCTCCTGCTGGCCAAGGGACACACAGCCTGGTCACCACTGTGGAACTTGCTAGTTCTGGTCAAGCTCTACTTTGCAAGAAGGTCCTTCTCCACCAGTTTTGCTCCTCCAAGTTAAAACCTCTCTAAGTTTTGGTGTTAATCCCAAATTATCATATTGCATTTTCTTCTCTTCTGGCTCACTCCATTCCCCTTTTGATATACAGACTGAGGTAGCTGAGAAAGGCTCTAATTCACAGAATCACAGATTAGCTGAAGTTGGAAGGCTGTCTGCAGACTGTCTAGCCCAACCCCACTGCTCAAAGCAAGGTCAACTAGACAAGATTGCGAAGGACTGTGTCCAGTTATGTCTGGGTATTTCTAAAGAAGGAGAGTCCAAAAACTCTCCAGGGCAATTTGTTCCAGTGTTCAGCCACCTTCACAGTAAAAAACTGATTTTTTTTTTTTTTTTTGGTGTTCAGGTAGAACTTCCTGTGTTTCAGTGTGTCTCCCTGGCCTCTTGTCCCAAGCTCCACAGAGAAAAGTCTGTCTCCATCTCCATTAAACAGTCCCATCAGACAGATGAAAAAAATCCCCCTAAGTCTTCTCTCTTCTCCCCAGGTTGGATGAGGCATTGAGCAACCTGGTGTAGTGGGAGATGTCCCTGCTCACTGCATTGGGGTTGGAACTAGGTAATTTTTGAAGTCCCTTCCAACCCAAAACACCCTATGATTCTCTTCTCCAGGCTGAGCAGTTCCATCTCTCTCAGCCTCTCCTTGTATGACAGGTGTACCAGTCCCTTAATTGCCTTAGTGGCTCTCCACAAGTTTCACTCCAGCATGCCCACATCTCTGTAGTAGTGAGGAAGCCAGAACTGGACCCAGCACTCTAGACATGGCCTCACTAGTGATGAGTAGAGAGGAAGGATCACCTCCCTTGACCTGCTGGCAACACTGCCCCTAATCCAGCCCTGGCAATTATTGGCATTCTTTTCTACACGGGCATATTGGCAGCTTACGTTCAACTTTCTGTCCACCAAGACCACAACATCATCATTCTCTTCAAAGCTGCTTTCCAGGTGCTCATCCCCCAGCATGCATTAGTGCATGGGGTTCTTCCTCCCCAGGACTTTCCAACTCTTCTTGAACTTCATGAGGTTCCTGTCTGCCCAGTTCTCCAGGATGTCCAAGTTCCTCTGAATGGTGGCACAGACAGCTGGTGCTTCAACCACTCACACCACTCCTGTATAATATGCAAACTTGTTGAGGGTGTACGTTACTTCATTATCCAGGTCATTAATGAAGAGTTAAACAGTACTGGAACCAGTGTCAGCTGCAGCTGGACACCACTGCTGACTGGTCTACAGATGGACTAAGTTATTCTGATCACTACTCTCTGAGCTCAGCAGTTCAGCCACTACTCAGCCCACCCCACTGTCTGCTTGCCTAGCCCATATTCCAGCTCAGGTAATCACAAACTTTGGACACCAAGTAGGAAACAAAGCCTGGAAAAATTGGTACCAACATAAAACCTACATAATAAAAAAATAGCCCTTCACAATAACAGTGTCTCAGTGAAAGAAACACCATTTGAAATAGTACATGGTGTGTTTTGTAAAAATGCTCATAACTTTTAAGTTATCTAAAGAGTCATTTCGTGAGACTGGTTTCCCCTGTACCTTCTGTGCAGAAAATTCCAAATATTGGGTACAATAAAGTAGATTCCTGGACAATGCCTTATTTTTATTTAAATAGGCAAAGCAAAAGATCAAGTGATTCTTTTGCATGGTTTATTGTGAGGCTACCTACAGATTGGCATGAACAGTGCATTTTACTCTACTTACACACCTCACATGATTGCACATTGTGGAGTTCCATCCAAGATTTCTGCTGTTCCTTGTTTTTTGTTCATTGAAGATTTCTGTGTGGGAAAAATTTGGATCCTTCATTGCTTTCATAGTCTCATTTTAAATATGTTCTACTTCAAGATTTCAATCTCGGGCTGAATTCTTTAAAAAAAAAAAAAAAGGTACAAAAAATTAAAACATTTAGCTTTTATCAGCAGTGCTTTATAATTTCTTGGTGCAGAAATGCCTGTTTGAACCAGGCAGAAGAATGTTATGGTCTCTGCTGGTTAAGTCTCAATGGAAATGGATGTGAGGTGTATTCCTGGAGTCCTGGTGCTTGTGAATTTTTCCTCACGTGCCTTATCACAGCTGGCCCTTTGCCACTCTCTCATCCTGGAAGGACCGTAGGAGGTCTGTAGCACACTGAATGACAGCACAGTAAAGAGATAGGTGAAATTTAATATTGCTAATTGTGAATCACTGAACCTGGAAAAGCAACTGTAACTATACACACAGAGGGTTGTACTCCAGGTAAGTTATTAGAACTGAAAGAAAAAGCTTAGCAGTCACTGCAAGATGTTCTCTGAAAAATCATGTCAACACACAACTCAGTCCAAAATGTAAATGTAACAGGAAGCATTCATTGCTTCTTGAATAATGAATGCTGTAGTAGTCCCTGATCTTAAAACGAATTATAGAATCAAAAATAATACAGAAAATGATGACTAGACAGCCATTGCTGGGAATGGCTTCTTTTAGTGGACAAGCTAAATAGATGAGAATCGTTCACCTTGGAAAAGAGGCAGGTGGCAATATGAGAGACATGAATTCTTGTTCGAAAAAAAAATTACTTTTTTTCATATTGCACAGATTCATAGCTCCAAGGATGATATAGGTAACTAGAAGTACAAATAAGTTTTAAAAAAATTAGTTAAGTCCACAGAAGACTATCAAATATTGCTAAGAAATGCACTAAACCCCTGGCCCTCAAAGCCCTTACCCCACAGATTGCTAAGCTACTATACTAGGTAAGTGTAATTCTGCGCTGTTTTACAAGCTTTCTTTGAGTTCTTCTGCAAGGTTTACCTCTCATTCACATCTTCACCTTAATTCTGCAGTCTGACAAGCAGTTCAGCATTGGGACAGTGCAAGGAGGGAGGCTGAGCTGCCTCTTACACACATATCTGCATTGAGTGTGGGTGCCACGTATTCCTACTGGCTCCTGCACAGGCTGCATGGAAGGGTTCACGTCTCTCTCCCTGGGCATTTAACTGTCACTTATCAGATCTATCGATCAGCAGATCAGGCTCCCTTTTTTTTCTTTCAAATGGTTTCTGCACTCGGCACTGTCAGAGATTGCAATGTTGGGTTAGTTGGATGGCCCGACAGGATGGCTTGTTTGACCGCTCTGACTGAGGTTGGTTACCATCCTGTTCCACTTACCTATGGAAACAGCAAGAAACAAAATTCCATGTTTCAGCTCTCCCTGCATTAACTAATGCTATTGCATACCAGAAAAAAAGAGAGTAATTCCTTAAACTCACAGAATCATTAAGGCTGGAAAAGTCCTCTGAGATCATTGAGTCCGACCTTTGACCAATCACCCTTGTCAACTAAACCATGGCACTAAGTGCCACGTCCAGTTGTTTCTTGAACACTTCTTGGGATGGTGACTTTCACGGGCAGCCTGTTCCAATGCTCGACAAAGAATGCTTAGATATGGCTCTATATAATTTCGTAACTTTTCTTATGCCTTTTCTTCCAGTTTTCAGAGTAAATGTTTGGTGTTTTAGAGGCTCAGTCACAGGGCACTGCAACACCAGCGTTCACCAAGAAGTCACGATTAAAAACATGGTTTAAATGCTGCTTTTGCCAATTTTAAGAGCTCTCTAAGCACAGATACAGAGTGTAGTTTAGAAAGGAGACAGTGTTTATTCTGCCCAGGGCGCAAGATGAAAGTTTCCATAAATCAAGCACACCAACCAACAAAACTTTTTACTATTTATACATTTTAGCAAACAAAGGAATTAGTGTTACTTGGCTACAAGTCACATAGTTCTCTTATTAATTAGTACTCTATCTTCTGTTGGGGTTAATGATTCTGTGTCTTCTCATTCTAATTAG